GTCGGAATCAATTCGGCTTATAAGCGTTCGATTGTTGTGTGCTTTGCAGCAGCACTTGTGGTGTGCTTCACGTGTGCTCGTCATGGGGAATTGAAAACGGATCGTATTTAGCTATTATGTAAGCCTGTTTGGGGTATGCAATATGGATTTTCCTCTGTAGGAATATCCTAACTGCACGTCCTTCTTGCGTGCTCCGTCATTGCTCTCCTTTGCACTCTTCTGAAGTCGCTCGTCGTCTCGAGCCTGCTAGAAACGTCTGTAGATCTCTTTGATCTCACGCCGATCCCTTGCCAGTCTCCTGCAAGTTCCGACGCTGTTGCAGATTTACAAAGCGGAGCACAATTTTGGTGTGGAGCTCGCTCAGGAATGAGAAAATGACGGGTGCGGATTAATCCTTAGCATCCAAAGGCGACTTCCTTAGTGGATCTGCAAAAAAGATGACTTTATGCCTTTTCTCTACAAAGTTGAATCATGAGTGTCCTCGTTTCTGTTCGGGTTGGGATTCCTAGTGGACGGATGTATTCTTAGCCTTTAGATTTAAAAAATAAAAATAAAAACTTTTTTGTAGTCTAAAAATGGTAACTAGCCATCCCTAGTTATCCCTAGCCATCGGTGACAAGCAACTGGTGGAGCACATTGCTTGTGGTCTCTTACACCATTCATCTCTGTTGCAGTAGCTTGATTGGTCGTGTGTGGACAACGATTGTTGGTGTTGTCCGTTCATTTCTCAATTTCCAACGCAACACCCTCAATGGCATCCGACGTTATCGACGTGGCCACATCCGACTCCGAACATGAGGAAGGAGCAGAAGATGGATCGTCGTCTTACCAAGTCTTAGAATCTTTCCGCACGGCAGCTGAGGCTATCATCTATATGGACAGCTAAAACCAAGCCGTCTTCCCAAGTTTCCAATTCTTATCGAGAAAGAGACTACCAAGGAGAACGTGCCTGGCGTGGTGAGTACGTGTTTGAACCAAAACGGTGTGTACAAATGGAATGTGACGCTGTCGGATGGATCAACACGTCTGCTAGAATGTCAAGAGCTGGCAGAGGCAATTCACTTTGCTAACACCACGGGAATCGCACCAGAATGAGCAAAACTTGCTCGACGTCGAGGTCTCAATTATATTATAATACTCGTGCATTTCTTCTTTTAATCTACCATGAGCCCACTGTGTAACGTGGTACATACCCCAAGTGTACCCAAGTTACATGAAGAGTGCCTAGTCACTCTTGAGATACCTGGTACATGGTACCAGGGGCTCTAGGA